ATAAAATAAAAAATTTATATCTTTATGTTTGAAGCCTGAAATGTGGCAAAAGGTTGAAAAGTTCAAGGGGGCCGAATACTTTTGCAAGGCACTGTATACTGTACATTGAGTGATTTTGAGCTGCAGGAAGACGATCTTGGGGTGCACAGATGGGATCTGGTTCATTATGTAGATTCTTCATCAAGAAGTGTGCAAGCAATAAATACTCAAATTATTTGTTGGGTATGTATGTATGTGTGAAATCCAATGATTTGTGCTCAAAGTTTACAATATGCTGTTTAGAAAATCTTGCAACCTTGTTTAGATTATTTTATACAATGTTTGTCATTCTATCATAAAGGATACTCTAGACTCAGAAAGAATTCAGAGAAGAGCATCAGGAATGGCTCCTTGTCTCTAGGGGTTAGAATGATGATTAATAAAGGGAGATAATTGTCTTCAGTCTAGATCAAACAAAACTGAGAGTAGATTTGAAACAATTATATAACATTATTGGGTGTATAGATGGAGTCACAATAGGGGACTGTTTCACATTTAATTGTGAAACAAGGATATGATGTCCCAAAAGAGATTACATTTTGGATAAAGAATAAGAAATACCTCGTTTGACAAAGATTTGTGGGCTTCCCACCTGAGTAATAAGCAAAATGTGCTGAATGGCCTTTTCTCATATGCATGATTTCTTATGTTGTTAGGTTGTTATTTTATTAATTTAATCTGTGATCACATTGTATTTTATTAGTTTTTTTTATTAATTTCATGAGTATTATAAAAGAACTACGTACATATTGGTATTGCCGCTTGATATTTTGCTATTTGGTTTGGCTGGGTCCATTTTTCAAACTGAACCACAAGAGGGTGATTAAGAACCAAGGTTAAAAAAGAGTTCATATTGACTGAGTTACTTGCCAAGTATGTCAAGGATTGCTGAACAACTTAAAACTTTCTGGGTATTATGTACACGTCCAAGATCTGGTCCTATTATCTTTAAATTATTTCAAAAAGTTCAAAACAACCCTGTTTTGTTGATCCTCTTTGAAATGACCCATGAGGGATGCTAAACCCATTAAGACCCCCCCCAGTCAGAGAACAGAAGCATTTTGGTTCAGGATATTTTAATTTTGCATGAAATTCTCTAAAGCTCTCAAATTCCTTGTTTGTCAGTTTAATTAGTTTTGATATCATTCCTGGTTTTCAGATTTGGTTTACTTCAAAAGCTTCTTTAACCTTTGGTTGAGTAATTTTCCAGTCAGATGGTACAGATCTATAACTCTGTGGTCAAGCACACCCACATATTGATGAAATGATGGTAAAAAACCCACAAGCTTCTTAATTTTGATCTATTATTAGAAACTTTTTTTAAGCTGACCTTGTTTGCAAATAAGAAGCAATAAATCACCCTGTCTTTCCTGTTTGTGAAGGGGTTGTATATTTCCCTCTAGTCTACTGTAAAAAAATCATTAGCCCTCCATTCTCTAGGGTTTTTAAAATGGGTTTTCCAGACCAAACATCTCATTGATGTTTTCCCAGACAACACAGTGGAAATGTGCATGAGAATGTCCTGAATAAAGTGGTACCATTTAAAATGAAGGGTGACCCAGCAATGGCTAGGATTCCCTGCAAGATTGCAATCAGTTTACAGAAATCTTTAAAGGAGCACTAATTGGAATAGTTAATTATATTCTAATTCACAAGAAAAGCAAGAAATTAAAGCAAGTGTCCAGTTCTAAATGGTCTGTTGTGTTGAGGCCTGACTTCAGCCATTCTTGTCTTTCTTCTTGTGACAGGACAATTGAGCACTGGTTTCATATGTTTGATAGAATGGTGATTTACTTCTTCATTGCTGCCTCCTATGCTCCCTGGTGAGTACAAATGTCAGCTGCATCTCCTTTTCCTGTGCTTAAAAGATTGCAATGACCCTGTGACATCCTGGTATTCTCAAATGTCTTTTTCGACTTAAGTCGTCTTACAGCATTTTAATTTTCTGTTATAAATAGTGTTGCTCTAAACCACAGTGTTTTTGTCTAAGGTTCTAATGTGCTATATTTATTTTCTTATATTTTACCATAAGGGGCTTTAAACCTTAGCATTAAGAACAGCAAAGAGTTTAGTGACATCTTTGCAAGCCCATTGTATTAATATGTAAAAATATTTATTTAAAAGCGTGTTTTTGTTAGGAGTCAACATTTTAATTCTTGAGCAGTGTAAGTCCCAGTGCATTAGTCTTTTTGTATAATCTTTTGCCTCTTAAGTACATTGAAACACTCAGGTTTAGCATCTGAACCACCCTTGTAATTTTACTGAAAGTAGCTAAAATATTTTTTTCTAAAACAATCTTCTTAAATTCCTTCTGTTGTGTTGGATGCTAAGTTTGTGGTGTTAAAGCTGACCTATTTTGTGCAGCTTTTACTTTGTATTATTTTGTTTAGTAGCTTAGTAGCTAGAATTTATATGTTAGAAATAGGATTGTAATATTTTAAAAAGCCATTAGCAATGTTTGGTTCTTTAATTTGAATTGTTTCCTGCCATTGCTAAACTTAAAAAGATCCCTCTCATTTTCTGAAATTTCTCACAGTCAATGGCACTGATCAATACTGCATTAGTGACGATATAATCTCTCTTTACTGAACTGTTTCCTGTCAGTATGTCCTTTCTAAGAGGTCGTGCTGGGTTGCTTGAATACAAATATTCAATATAATGGCATTTCAGTATTTATGAATACACTAGTTTATCTTCAAAAGCCTTCTAGAAATGTTATGGTATGATAGTTCTTATGTCTGTTTAGGTGAAATGTATAAATACCAAACTCTGAATTAATTAATTTATATTTACTTTATTTATGCTTATCCAAATGCCTTTTGTTTACTTGTTGATCCATCATATTTTTCACTTTTACACACATATATTTTCAATTTTTTTAGAGAATCTGGCATTTAACCTTTAATGTTTTATCTGTGCACGAAATGCTGCAAATTCAGAAAGAATTTCTCTTTGAGAGTAAAAGAAGAAATAAAACTTCACTACTTTGTGCAGTTTAATTTATAATCATCTGTCTCCCTCTCCCTTTGCTCTTTCAGGTTGAACCTGCGGGAGCTGGGACCATGGGCTTCTCACATGCGTTGGATCATTTGGATCATGGCCTGTGTGGGCACGACTTACGTCTTTTTCTTTCATGAAAGGTGAGAGATGTTCTGGGCGAGATCCCTCTGCTGCTGAGGCCTTTCTGTGTGCCGGAGGTATTTGATTTTCTTAATGATGTGAACTCTGCTCTTAATGCACAGACTGTCTCTGTCTGTCTCTGCTCAAGATGTCAGGAAGCTCTCCTGCTTCTGCTAATGGTTTTTGATCACGTAGCCTTTTAAGGATGCATCCATTATAGCAGGAAACAAATACACAGACTGTAAAACAAGGTCAATTACATTTGACATTTTTTAGATTTTAGTCTTTGCCAGAATGAAGTGAAACCATTTTCCTCAGTGACTGCCTTCCATCTGTAATTGAAAGTTACTTTCTCCAGATAACATAGAGGTTTTTCTATGTTTGATATTATTAAGTTTTTACCAAGGTATGGCTCATAACTTCAAGTTTGACTTTTACCTTTACTGGAACAAGTAATAGGTTTATTCCATGCTGAAAAAAAGAAGAAAGAGAACACAATGTTTCGGCCGTGGAGCCTTTTTCAGGTGTCACACCTGAAGAAGGCTCCACGGCCGAAACATTGTGTTCTCTTTCTTCTTTTTTTCAGCATTGAATAAACCTATTACTTGTTCCTTTGCAGCCTACGCATGCTGACGCAGCTACCCACCTGAACTACTTTTACCTTTACTGACTAATTGCTACAGTATCCCCTTTAACACCAGGTGGACAGATGCCAGGCTGTAATTTCTTTATTACTTGTGAATTTCTGTCATGTTTATTACATCTTTACATCAAGTATTTTGTTACTCATGCTTACTTTTATGTATGCATACTGACTACATGTTGGCACAACACACATTCTTAAGTGAATAGTATTAATGACAGGAGACTATATGTTCAGTGTATATTAAACTTGAACACAACAAAGAAAAGTGTGGCTTCTGGGTTCAAGCCTGCATCATGTCATTAGGAGGTATGGTGTGGTGGATACATTTTACTGCAGTGGGATTGGCTGGCCAGGCTCTCAGGAATACAGTGACTCCCTGCAGCCTCCTTGGTGCTCACAAGCACAGGATGCCACAAGACCCTTTTCTAGTTGGCACTGAACCTCTGGTATGAGGCTGTGGTGTCTATGATGTGTTAAAAGTTAAGTGTCCTGAAGTGGGCAGGTTAGAGAAACATATCTGCACTTCCTCATTCTTGCCTCTATGTGGTCACATGTAGAGTAGCTGCTACTAGTCAAGATTTGAAAAAAAAAACCCAAGTACTGTAAGTAGCTGTTTGTAATGTGTGTAGGTATAATAAAAAATAATTGGCAATTTTAAATCTCTTAAGAAAAGTGGGACTAAAACAGTATAAAACAATAGATATGATATTTTTACTTTATTCATTCCTGATCTTTTTTGGTATATAATTTACAGGATTTGTTATAGTTTGATAAATTACCTAAAATTATCTATGTTATTGTTCACTTGAACAAATGTATGCACAAAAAATGTATACATTTGTACACACAATGTGTAAATGTATGAATGTATGTTCTAAGAAGAATACAGCATATGGATTTTGGCATAATTCTTTAAATGCTGATCTCTGGAGTGATGTTTTAGTGCAATGCCCTAAATAAGAGAGAGTTGATTGGACACAGATTATGAGGTTATTTAATCTGTTGAATATCAGGCTTTACAAAATAAATAAAATTCCAGAAAGCAGCATCTTCAACCTGGTACAAAGTATGCATCACAGATGTACAGCTTGTATTGAATCTAGCAGTAGCCACACATGCTGCTAACCTGTGAATTTCACTCCGAAGACATCCTGTTGATGAGCAATGTTAATCAGCATTATGAATTTATCAATGTCATGTGTGTTCAATAAAATGTCAGTGTACTTGTTACAAAAATGGACATTTTATTGATAATATGTCTGATTTCTTCTTGCAATTTCTTTTGAAATCTTTTCTAGGTGTACAGTGTTTCACTAGAAGGTTTGAGCGTGTGCTTTTTTAACTTTAGTGTTGCACTGCCACCTGTTGGTCACTATGTATATTACAATTACTGCCAAGTACTGTGGTTCTTTCAGATGGGTTTTATGTGATTATGTGAGCACAGTGTCATAGAAATACAATTATGCCAATATAATAGTAAATTGTATTTATGCATCACTTTCTTATCCCAAAAGATGTTTAAGTGCTTTACATGCAGGAGGGGAGTTAACTTCATCCACCACTGAAGTGTAGCACCCATATAGGTGAGGCACAGCAGCCATTCTGCAGCAGCAGATCAATAAGAGAAGTGAGACCTTTTCTTAGTGGTCCCAGTACTGACCCACTTGTGTAGCTTCTGAGATCTGATCAGATCAGGCTACAAGATGGTAACAATGCTGTATTTGTAACTACTGCTGTCAGTATAACACTTGCAATTTCACTATTTGCATTATCTGTATGCAATTATACCTCTTTTCTTTTTTCTATTTCTGTTTTGTAGGTACAAGATTGTAGAGTTAATATGTTATGTGATAATGGGTGTCTTTCCTGCCTTAGTGATCCTCTCAATGGTAAGACAATTCAGACAGCTTCAGTGATTTCAGCTTTAAACAAGTACAGCAGAGACACGATTTTACATTATCAGTAGATATCCATTCCTGCTAGGGGGTGGCTTATATGCACATAATTTATATTTCTCTAAGGTTGATAGATGATTCTGCTCAATTGGAGATAACATTTGTGATAAAAAGAAAGTCACACAGTGTGCTTTTGAATTAAACAGTAATTTTATATGTTAAAACTGTAGGCACTCTCTTCTATGCACAGCAGCAGATGAAAATAAATTAGTTTTACTGTACACAGTTTATGTATTTCATATTTTATGAAAAAAAATATTTTAAGTTCCTTAAAATAACAATGGAATACGGTACATACTGAACAATGCGCATTTCACAGTACACAATGTAACTTTAAAATGTAATTATTTCCATATGTTGTTAAAAAGCTTAAGCATGACTTTTGATATACATAAAAAGCATTTACACAAACCATTTGCTATTACATTTCTATAGATTATTTGATTTTATTTCACTACTAGCAGCAGAACTTCAGATCTCTGATGTTTCTCTCTGGTTGTTTCAGGCGGATAGAGATGGGCTGTTTGAGCTGATCCTAGGTGGGATGTTTTACTGCCTAGGCATGGTGTTCTTCAAGAGTGACGGTCGCATCCCTTTTGCTCACGCTATCTGGCACCTCTTTGTGGCAATTGGGGCTAGCATCCATTATTATGCCATCTGGAGGTATCTCTACAGGCCTGGCAGCACAGAAATTAAAACCTCTAGATAATAATGTGGAACTGTGTGACAGAAATGTCAGCACACGGGAAATGATCACACACAATGTCAAGTGAGAATGAGTTCCTTTCAAAAGTTCCTTTTTTATGTTCTGGATAACAGCTTTCCTTAATAACCTCCTTGTGAGTAAAGCCTAGCCTTTTTTGCAGAGGACACCTACAGAGGCATGTTTCTGCAAAACACCCTAAAATATGATTAGGAAAATTAGATTTAGATCAGGGCGGTTTCTAGTTTGGATTTTTAGAGCTGAACTGAATCTTTTACCTACAAATGTAAAAACAGATCTGTGCTTAATCCTTTTCAGTCAAATGACATACTGTACTTAATACATAATTGGCATAGTTTGCTAATAACAACTGGTATTTTCCAAGCTTTGGGTTCATGATGTGGTGATGCTTTAATAATAAGAGTTTTTAATTCCAGTGTTATTGTACATTAACTAACATGTATCCTATTGAAGTCAAATTGAATGTATATAAAGTTAGCAAGTATTCATTTCCATATCCTCTCATATAATTTGTCTCATTTGACTCTTTAATTTTAAACAGTATCTCATTATGTTCTTAAGGTTCAATATAGGCATCCTGAAGGAACTTAATTTTTGAAGAATATTATTCAAGCCTAGTAATTTTCCATAGAAGGATAAAGTAGGGTACCAAACCAAGAGTATTAAAAATACACATCAACATTACCAGAAATACAGTATTTTTGTTTTTCAAACTAATGTATTGATAGTTTTAATTTTGCAGCAACTGTTGTTATGTTAGAATGTTAGGAACAGAAAAATGTGAATATTATGTGCAGGGAAATTCCCTATTCCCTGCGCTGTATTTGTTTTACTCTGTGAATTTTTGTGAGGTGTGAAAATAAGTATCTCCATGGTTCAACAGGTTTGTGGTATTAGAATGCTAAATCCAAAAGCTAAAAAAAAGCTTTTAGGGGGTATTGAAACAACTTATCTGCAAAAACATACTAATATTCTTTCCAGAATATGACTTCCAGTGTTGCAGAATAGATTTGTATTTGCTTAACGAAATCTGCTGAAAAGTTTGGCTGATCTCTGATTTGATTCTCTTCTTTTGAGATGGGTCAAGCATCTTTTGCTATTACATGAATTTATTATGTGTTCTATATCAATAAGTACTGTATGTTTTCATAAAAGGGACAATAACCTTTTACCTTTATGATTAAACAAGTGAATATACTTGTTTTCTGTTTTAAAACCCAGGAACTGTAAGGGTAACAGCTTGAAAGTCTTTTGTGACAATGAATATCCTCGTAAAACTTGAAATCATTCCTATTAGTTCTAACTGCACTGGACTGTCCTTCATGCCAGTGTTTCATTCAGAGTACTGTATGCATTCCTTCAACTATAAGCACCACAGGGTTCTGTCATCTTAACTACTGGCTGAAGCCAAGTTGCTACATCCACAGCAAGGCTTGAAGGATGACAGGTGTAATGCATGAGATATTCGTCCCATTTTTCAATGCTGTAGTATTTAAAACACAACTTGGATTAACCTAGCAGAAGTGTACGTTTCTATGAAATAAGGATTTTAGGATTTTCTCTTCATTACCATCTACTTTTTTGTTTTTATTTCTAAAAAAATAAACACCTTCAGTACATGTCCATAAATTGAGTTATATGATGCAGAGTACTCCGCTGATAATTGCCAAGAGTCATGGCCTTGTCAAGTATTTGCCATGCTTAGCTTTACTTTACTCTTAGTATTTACTTAGTGCTTTACTCTTAGCAGTAGGGTTTTGTGGGTACTCTGCACTCTTGTAACCAAGGCCTACAGTATTCCACCTTATATATTCAGGGCCCCATATTCAAAACACTTAAGTGTAGAAATAAGGAAAATGGGCAGGATAAGCCATCACAGAAGTGCCTCACTTTACTAAACGTACGATGTACAGTGTAGTAACTACATATAAGCACATCCTCAAGTGAGCTGTGACTGAGAGCATTGTTGGATGTTTCAATGAATACATGCACACTCAAATCTCATTTTCAGAGGCTTTGTCTCTCAGATGTGTGTGAATGAGTTATTCTGAAACCACAGCTACTGGTAGGTACCCAACACATGAATTAAAGTACTATGCAATCATATTGAATCAAAGGTTCCTCGAGCTCTCAGTTATGATAGATAATGTAATATTAGAAAATAAAACCACAGTCAAATTACTGTGTTTACATAGTACTGCTATTACCCATCCCAAATATTTAATTTATTATTTACTGTACATCAATTAATAGCACCCACACATAATAAAGAAGGTGGTGGATTATCATAAATAAATATTGCAACTAGCATATATCCTGAAATTAAACACAAAAAAACACTAATAATAACAGGTTTACTTTTTGGTCATTTTGAAAACATTCCATATACTTAGGAAAATTCTTAGGGGTTCTTATTTATATGTATCGTTTCAAGCTAATTTTTTTATTGGCTTAAATCACAAATTGTGCATGAGTTCACAGAGATTTGAATATGGGGCTCTCAGCAGAAAGGGTGTTTAATCATTTCTGTTTAATTGGTTTTGCTTCTGTTCATAAGATCCAACAACAGCAGTCTTCACAACAGCAGACCTTCAGTTGTACATAAATCTGTTCAGAAAATACCAATGACTTCAATCTTCTAGTGTTGGTGCTTTAAGGTTGCAACATACAACTTTTGATATATTGTAGGATGCAAAAAGTCTTCCTGACTTTTTCCTGATAGTTTAATTCAAATGGCATTAAAAGCTACGTTCTCCAAGACTGTGGGTTTATTTTAATTCAAACACAGCTACTATTATGCTAAGTAACAGTTTACAGTACATAGAGGCCAGAATCATTAAGTTAAACTCAATGCAGATGGTCATTTTGTTCAGTACACAGGGTAATAGAACAAGATTGCCAAGATCTGTCTCATACTGGTGCAAGCAGCTGTTGGCAGTACTGTCTGCTCTTGTTTCTAAATTGAACAGTGTATTCCAAGCACTGAGTTGTAACCAGGCTGTTATTTCTGGTGTTTTATAATTCCTTTCTATTGTTTTTCTTTTCCCTAAGGAAATAATTTAATAATTTAATTTTAACCCTGGAGAAAGTGAATCCCTGTGCTCAATGTGTCAAAATTTTAAATAGAATTACCAGTTTTTGTTTGCTCAAAGTAGTCATCTTATACAGTATCCAGCATGAGGTCCATTAATGATTAAAGGAAAAGTAGACTAATAAGAATCCCTTAATATCGGTTTTATACCCAAATACCAAGTGTGAAGTATTTATTCACATTTTTGTTTGCTCTACAGAAGTACATAGAACTTTTATTTCTGTTAGGCAGGTTCAATTATTTCAAATGAAACAAATTCTTAATTCCAGTAAAAATATATGAATATAAATCCTGGAAAATTGAATGTGAAGCTTCGGCTTGAAAAGATTTTGCTGAAAATACTTAAAAAACAAATTGAAGAATTTTCTCTTAGGGCATTTTTGTTTGTGTGACATACGGTACAGTAAATGGCATTAGTTTCTTAATTAACTAAGCAGTGTACAGTAAACTTGACCTTTATCTTAATAGAGTAAATAGAATGTTAGAATTTCTTCAGTGGCCCTTGTGCTGAATGCGGTGTCTTTCTCTTGGTATTGTGTATGTCTCACAGGCAAAGACTTTGTCATCCTGACAAGATAATCTTGCCATGTCTGCCTCATTTTTTACATTGTTATTTAATAGTAATAATGCTCTATGATAAACAAAATCAGAAGGTAATATTAAAGTTGTAATATTTATTTACATTTTAATGTATAATTTATAATGTATGATCTTAAAAGTACATACTTTGTTCATTCCTTAAAAATAATACCTAAGTGTGACAAATCTTTTTATAAATTTCTATTCTATTTTTTTTATATAAGTATGTGTGCTTAAAATGCTTTCCTGTTTATTGACTGACAGCATAGTACATAGATACATAGTACATGTGTAGATACACACCGTAGTAAAATGAGTGCTTTCTGAATCTCTTTATATATTTATACATACAGGTATATTGGAAGACTCATATACTTTGTGGCTGAAATGTACTGTACATTTCCCAAAGTACCATTCTTATTATTATTATATCACTGTTATACAACCTTATCCTATAGAAACAGCCTGTTGCTTTCAGTTCCATAATTATGCTGAATTATGTTAAAGCCAATCCCTCAATTGATAAATTGATCTGTAGCACCTAGGTTAATGAAGCAGTTAAGGAATGACTTAAGGTGCCAAGTCTGATTTACCCTGCTCTAGGTCTTTATTATGAGCAGGAAGTTTAGCACTTCTTTGCCTAATTTGTTGTGTAGTGGGACTGCTGGCACATAATGTCTGTCATGTGTTAAAAGGTGAGGATTGCACTTCAGAGGTGGGTAAAATGGGCACCCCATTTATATAGAAGGTGCTTTGGGACTCTTTTGAATGAAAATCATTAGGTAAATACAAGGAATTATTATAATTGAAACCTTGTCTTCAAAATCTTTTTTGTGTCTGTGTGATGTCTATCAGACAAAAAACAGGAAAGCAGTGAAGAATTGATAGTTTTTCTAACTTTTATATGTTTATGCTGTTTTTGGAAAATATTGTTAGTTCATTTTTAAAACACTGCAAGTTTTATTTCTTGAGATAAAAGGTAGAAATTGTTAACTCATGAATACTTTTCTATTTAAAATACGGACTTACAGAGTGAGGGCTACTTTGTTTCCTACACCTCAGATACACACTACGGAGTGCAGTGAAAGCAGTAAAAAAGTAATTTTCTTCAGTAATCTCTCTATTCTTGTGACAATAAGATTTGCCTTTTAAATACCAGTATAACTGGAATTAGTGCAAGGAATTATAAGCCATCTTTGTGCTGTGCTACTTGGTTTGGTTAGGAATAGATCCTACAAAACATTTATATGTGTTCACAAGATGCACCTCTGTAAGCCTGTGCCATCTGCTGAAGCAGCATGAGACAGCTGTCAGCAAAATAAATGCAGTTCAAAGACAAAGATGTTTGAGAATTTGCCCTTCCATTTTTCACATGTCTTGGTTATTTTAAAACGGAAGAAGAAGAAGCTCGTCTACTTCATTGGGGCAGTCCTTGATTTATTACTGCTTGCCAAGTGTATAACCTAATATTCCTTTGCAGTTTTTTTATCCCATTTTTGTTTCATTTGTACCATTTGTACATTTTGATGTTAAAACATTTTGGTTTACCATTAAGGCATGAGACTAACTTTATTAATTACTAAACCTTTACCCCAGATTCAACTGCTGCACTCTAGAAAAAAAAACTACTGCAGGTTTCTATGATTAACCACACTGCCTATGACTTTTAGAATGATTAAAAACATATCTACTAAGAATACTACAGCAACTTTGTATTTAAGCATAGTTTATAATACAGTGTTATGTATTATTGTGTGGATCTAACCATTGTCTGTATCTGCTGGCTTTACTGTAACTAGAGATTTGTGAATGTGTTCAGACTTTTTAAATCAAGGATTGTAATTTTTGTGGTGATGCTTGTATTTTATATTGTATTTGTCATTTAATAATAACTTTTTATAATTATCTTTTGTGTGTTGTGTGTTGATAATGTTTGCATACAGAACTCAGTGGGACAAGGTATTCTCTATAGTTGCATTCAATGTCTGAAATAATACAACATACATTAGAATTAAACATGCAGCTCACACATATAAATAGACGTTATCAGATCTTTTCACTCTGAAAGAATAAAATAATCTGGATCTTTGGTTCCAAAAAATAAATGAAAACATATACAGCAAAAGTTCACTTCTAAAACTCTTAACAACAGCCTTTCTGCTAAACAGAAAATTATCAAAAGGCTTAAAGGAAGATATAAAAACATTATAGCCAATATGCACAATGAGATTCAAAGTTTCATTTATTTTAAATGGATCTACTGTCATTTATTTTAAATTTGTCTTTTAGATATTGGGATATATATATAACCAACACATAATGGACAATGAATGTACACTAAAGAAAAAAAAAGGCGGTAGCCAAAAATATACTCAAAAAAGAACAACAGTTCATTTGTACACGTAATTATGAGTCTCTAAATGTATTATACAGTAGATAACATTGGCATTTGACGGAGATACAAATAACTATATAATTATAGTTATATACATATAATTATGTTATATATACATAAATTACCCTTTAAAACAAATTGGTTAAGTTTACAAACAGGACAGCCAGAGCTGGTTGTAATAGAAACTGATGGTTTAGTGCTTACATTCCGTTTGATAAGCTAAGCATTGCGGACCTTCCCAGTAGATGGAGACAATTAACTTGTTTTGCGGTGGTCAGCTGCATCTGAAGATAACTGGGGCTGTCAGAACACGAGTCGACAGCTTACACTGAGTTCGCCTTTCTCCGGCGAGACTCGGACCCGGGGAATGCAGATACTGGAGCTGGAGGAACGAAAGGGTAGTACTGAGAGACGCGCAATATCAAAGGGAAGCCGAGCTGTGGAGACGGATTAGGTTGCGAATAAAGCGTCCTCGCCGCATATACTGTAGGACACAAAGCACTCGCTTACGTTACTGTATTACCGTGGCTGGAATAGTGAAGTTGAAGAACATGAGAATATCAGGAGAATTGCACCGGCGCAGCAGACAACGTGAGTATTCGTTATTATTACACAGTGGATATTTTGAGATGCTTTAGAAACCGAATTTGAATTTTAGAATAGAAAGGCAAAAAGTTGGGGGAAAAATACTTGATGCTAAAAAATAAAATTTCCACCCTGTATTGAATTACTTTGCGGTCTGTTTGACCTTAAATATACATAAAACATGTAGCTATAGGATGGTGTTTCAAATAAAATGATTTCAGTGTCGGTAGAGATTTATTTAATAAAGTTGTTGAGCATAAATATTGACCCTAATGTAGGCGGACGTCTACGCGTTGCACTCTTGAGTTCATTTGAATGTATCTAACGTTTGTTAATATCCGTACTAAGACTTAAGAAAATAAACTAGTTCGTAAGAGGCGTGTAAATGCAAGCTTGTCCGGTTGCTATTGGAAACCGAGCTGTCCAAGGCTGTAAACACAACTAATGCCGCGGTGTGATCAATTTATTGCTCGTCGCAGCTGCTTGGAGTTACTAGTGCAATGCAATTAATTGAAACAATACATTCATTTACTGGTGAATTGCCCCAAATTCAATTAAAAATATACATGAGTGAGATTTAATTGATACAAGTTTTGTAAAAGGAAAATGAATCTAAGAGCCGTAAATTGGAGCGCTTTAGTTTTAGAATCATTTGACCATTTTCTTCTAAGTGATAATTACAGAGAACTGAAAAATGTAAGTAATTGATAGACCAAGAAAGAAAATTGATTAAATAAATTATTACGAAAGTTATCTAGTGAGAAGGTATGGATTGTTAATTACATTTAAAAAAATCCCATATCCGTTGTACAGTAAGGATGTATTTGGTATTTTAGTATGTAACCAAACACAAGGCAGAATGACCAGTAGTTTACAGCATAAACGTCACATAATTTTAAAAGGTTACATCTCTCCAAAGTATAATTTTAAGAATATGTCGGCTAATATTATTGAAAAAATTGTAAGTTCTAGTATACAGTATACTTACAACTAATAAATTCCTAGTTTAGAAGCACTGGAATTACAGGATGTACACTAAAACTATTTTCATTTTGTTTGAAAAGTTAGAAGATTAAAACTTCTTGAATAAAATGTTTTACGATTTTGATATTTTAATGTGAGTATTGCAAGAGTATTCTCATTACAGTTTTCAGTCAGTAGAAATAATGAAAGATGCACATTCATTTTTATAAGTTAAATATTTATTTCTCTTTGGATTCAACACCCTGAAATAATTATACAGTACAGATCTTTTACAGAGTTCTGTCACCTTCCTAGCCTGTTTTTGGTCTGCACTGTGCCTCACTGGTTTCTGTCAGCTCTTCATTTCAAAGTTTTAGAATGTTCTGGCCTCAACTCGGAGCACTCACATTTAACATTTTTGTGTGCCCAAACACCAGGATGTGTGTCACAATGTGGTGCTGCCAAAACAGTTTTTTTTCTGTTAAATTCTGACCTAACCACCATCTTAGAGAGCTGGTCCTTCACTCTTGATTAATAATTAACCCATCATCTTCTCGACTCAAGATCCTATCTGCTTACAGTTTCAAATGTCATGTGGATGTCTGGTGGTTTTAAATGTAGTGTAGAGGCTGTTTTAATGTCATCAAACATACTGTGGAGTGTCCCAATAAGCTCACTCAGCTCACTATTATCAGTTAGATAAAAAAACACGGGTATTTTCAGAGTGTTTAATGTGTTCATGGGCCTGATGTCCTGATGTGTTTAAAGCATGAAACACTGCATGCTCCATTCTCTCCCCCCCCCCCATCTAAGACAAAAAAACATTCCTGCCCTTCACAGCCAAAGTGATGAGCTCCTGAAATGAAGTGAAGCTGTAAGGAGATCCCACTGAACCTTTGGGATACAGCACTCATATAGTCTGGATGCAGTGGAGAAGGCACTCTGCTGCAAGGTAAGCAAACAGTAAACCATGGATTGTGTTTACTGCTTAGATCTACAGCAACTGAACCGGTCTGTCAAAGAGTCTCAAAGCATCTGAAAAATTCTAATGCTCATCATTTAATATCAAATCCCAGCAAATCAAAACAGGTGAATACTATTCTTCCAGCACCAGATTTCATTTACAACACACCATTAGACTATATAGAGAATACTCCAGGCAATCATTGCAGTTCAATTATTATATGCACTGTGGTAAATTAATCTAGTGCAAAGTAATTGCTGTGGGATTTCTATCTCATTATAATAGTTACCATTACAGAGTTTAATGTCACAGAGTACTGTATTCAGGCCTTCCAATTACTGCGGCTCTGTAAAACTGCCATCACTAAAAAAAGTATTTTCTGGTACATTTAATCAGGACAGGCTAGGTCTATCATGTCCAGTCTCTTCTTCTTCAATAGACTGCACGATTAGCATTGTTAGTCTACATTTCATTGTATTGTAGAAAGAGGTTGCATTGCACAGAAAGTGATTTCTACACTTTAGCGTCTCACACATCATCTCTGTTTACTGCCTTTTAAAAACTACTCTGTGCAGGCATTCTGTACTTACTCTTACTTCATTTACATTTTCCACTGTTTTATTTGGGCACATTTGTGTTTGCTTTGCTTGGGATAATCAGTCCAAGCCCATCCTGCCGGGAGTGTGGCTGTGCAGATGTCAACCGATATTTCAAACTTCAGTTGTACCACTATGTATGAGTGTCATGGGGCAAGAGTAGATCATAGAGCATATAAAATTACCTGTTGTCATAAGGAAGAGGTATCATCTACAATTACAAAGATGATTATTACAAAATTCTTTTTCATTGATTATCTTAACATAATCTAAGTCCAGTTGTCTTGCACATCTACAGTAAATTACAGTAGATTTAATAGAATATTACCAGCTATGTGCATCTAGCTTTCTTATATTGCTTAAAAGTAATCTTTACTCAGCACTTTCTACTTTTTTCCTGTTTTTTCATCCTAATCCAGTCCTTTTTTATAATATAGTACTTTCATTTTAGTCTATTTTTTACCATAATTTTTACCAACTAATACTGCCTTAGAGTGAGATAATGTGAAAAGATCTTGTAAATAAAATATTATTTTTGTCCAAGATATAGCATACTGAAAAGGTTTTCCAACTGATATAGTATTTTATACTTTACACTAAATATAGTGTAATATCTCAAAAAGTATAAAATATTTTGCCATATAAAGGTTTTCGGCGCGATTTGGAAAACTAAGATAGTGCTAATCTACTGTATGTATATTTTCTCTGAGTTTTTTTTTTAAAGACCTTCATAGTTACAGAACTTCTCATAAATGTCTTTAGTGAGGTGATGTTCCGTTTTATCTCCTTTCTTTTTGTGGTCAACTGGAGTTTAACAAAAAATACAGATTTTGATGAAAATTTGAAAATGTTCTTGGCTCCTGTCCTGAATTCTTCGCTCAGAACATTTTCTGTCCTTTAGTTCTAGAGTGCAGTCTAGCGAGAGCCCAAGCGTGATGTTTTATGGGTCCTCGGCCAGCATGTCTCTGCCGTCCAAGAACAAGCTGAAGAGACAGAGTCGCACCTTCACACAGGTCCTGTATCGCACGTTAAGCTACAGGGATCGCCGATCAGTCACTGACCTCCCTGAGCGGGTCACGGATGACCCGGCGGAGCTGTCCACTCAGAGCTCAGCCCCGGGGGTCCTGAAGATCTTCGGGGATGAGATCTGTGTGGGGGCCAACTACAAGAGTGTGCTGGCCACACCACGCTCCAGTGCTCAAGAGCTCATTAAGGAGGCCCTGGAGCGCTATTCCCTCAGCAAGGCAGCCGCCGGCGAGTACGTGCTGTGTGATGTGATTGGGAAGCTCGAGGGGCCTGAGAAGCACTGGCGGACGGAGTGTCTCCGGGTCTTGGGGGACAACGAGAAGCCCCTCCTGCTGCAGGACCTGTGGAAGCCCAAAGAGGGTTTCGCTCGCCGCTTTGAGCTACGCAGGCGGGTGGAGGTGGAAGAGATGGCGGCCCGAGAGAAAGACACCGTCACGGCAGGTGAGTGTTCAAATGGCTCCCTCTCCTCTTCTTGCTTTCTTACGTGCTTTGAGGTGTTGGTGCAGACTTACCCTAGAAGTTCAATTTTAAAAAGTGGCTCCAGTCCCCCTGGTGTGCTCTTTTGCGCTACATGTATTCTGTGGATCTTGACGGATTTTTGGGGAAAAGCCACATTTTGTTCTGTCCAGCCCACCATTATTATTGTTATTATGATTGTTTTGTTGTTTAGGATTATTATTGTCATTATTGTTAAAAGCATTTTCATAATGCAAATCCAGGGTGTATCCCTGCCCTGTGCCCGTTGCTTTCCAAGATAGGCTCTGGCTCCACTAAGACCATGAATTGAAAGGAAGGTTAAAAAATGGATGGATAGTAGGAACAGTGAAGGCTGTTGAAGGATTTCTGCATGCTTCCTTTATTTCTGTTTAATCTGAGGGGTGAATAGTAGAACCTAAATGTCACTTTAACCCTCTGGCTGTCAAAGCAAGCAAAGCAAAGACTTACTATTCCAATACCATTGATTGAATTCCAGAGTCTAAAAAGTTTTGAGTCTTAATGTGAGAATGCTGGTTTTTCCATAATGCAAAACAGTATAACAGGTACAAAATTAGTGCTCAGATGTTTGGAAAAATATTGATACTTCTTACAGAATTGCTTGTGCAAAAAGTGTGGTATGCATTATGATCACTGTGAACTTTATTTTATATAGCACCTTTAAAGGTTGCTTCTCAAAGTGCTTTACAGAATGACAACAACAACAAAAAAATACCCGAGATATGCACAATGAGAACACACAATGAGAGAAGACAGTAGATAGTGGTTTTAAATACAGTAGGAGCAGAGGGGCAAAGAACAGGGCCAGTTAAGTAGTAAGGTTCTTCTAAAGAAGAAGGTTTTGAGTCTGGATTTGAAGGAGTTTAGAGAAGGTCACTCTCTGATATCCTTGGGGATAGAGTTCCAGAGCTTTGGGGCATAACAAGAGAAGACCCTACCACCCATAGAGTGTAGATGGTCTTGGGGGACATATACAGTAGGCGAACAGAATTAGAAAATAAAAAGTTGCAAGCTGGGGAACAGGGCGATACAATCTCAGGCAGCTACTGAGGTGCCAAGCCATGAAGAGCCTTGTAGGTGAGTGTGAGGATTTTGCAGTCAACACAAAACTTGACAGGAAGACAGTGCAAGGACTCCAGGATAGCAGTAATGTGATCATTTGCACTATACCTGGTGAGGATTTTGATGGCCAAATTTTGGACATTTTGGAGTTTGTTCAATGTGGATTTAGAAACCCCAGCAAGTAGAGCATTACAGTAGTTGATTCGGGAGAAGACAAATGTGTTGATCAGCTTTTTGGACAGAGTTAGTGATAACATAGGACTTAGTCTAGCTATATTTCTGAGGTGACAATATGCTGTACATGTGGGTTGAATATCAAGCCTGAATCAAATATCACCCCCACGTTTTTTAATTTAGACTGAAGCTCAAGTACTGTACCATCCACAGGCAGGTTTACAGCATTGGCTTTATTAAGTTGATGGGGGATGCCAATAAGCATGACTTCAGTCTTGTCACAGTTTAGATAAAGGAAATTTTGAGCCACCCATGTTTGTTGAAGAGCTGCCTAATCTATGGATTATCAAAGGTTAATAGTCAGTGGATATTATTGTTGACTGTACTGTTGTTTGTTTCATGTATTTAAAAAAGATTTAAAGATCAGGATAAAGCAGGTCCTTAAGAGCTTTTTGAAAGTTTTCTTGTTGATGTATTTGTGCTTGGAGAGGATAGAGCTTACCTTTGCACCATACATTTGTTATAATTTAAAATTAGTTCTGTCTTCTTCCCTATACCCTCTACAAATGCAATGTCTTTGCTACTTCTACTGGTGATTAATTTCTTTGGAGTGGGATGCTTTGACATTTTGAGATTGTTACATTGTAATGTGAACCAGCATCTTGTCATTGTGATTGAATTATAAAGTGGAAATTAATACTTCATACAGACAAGATACCTTTTATATGCCACAGGTATCCAGATGTTTCTATTAAAGGCTAATTCTAATTCTAGCATTAATACAACTGTAGTTTTTTTAGTTTCTAAATTGACCAAAATCGTGAAATACTAAGGTACAATCATAAATGCTTTGGATAAATTCATAAATTCTTTGGAATACTTAAAAAGAACTTGGCTTTATAGACTTTTGGTTGGCAATGACGGAAAATTTGAAAATGCTAAAGTGTTGGTTAAAATTAATGAGTGATTATGTTGTGTGTCCTGAGGTAATGTGACTGAGGCACATTTTAATTGAGAAAATGGAAATCTGTCTGGATTATGTGAAATCCTGACTTTTTGTGTGGTGTCACATCTTGAATCAAGACTGCAGCAATCCTCTGAACTGCAAACCTCCTTTTCTATGATTGTTTATGTTTGTGAAGTTTATCCTCTTTCAGTGCTAAATCACTATTTCAACAAGATTTTCAGCTTGAGCCAAAACCCCAAGGAGAACCCAGATCAATACAGCTAACAACTTTATTGAATCATTTATTCTCAGCCATGTGATACATTGGGTTAGTGTTGGAGAGGAAGAACCCACACATTCAGCACTATTACTGCTACTCTCTATTACTGTGGGGTGTCAGCTCTTTGTTTGCAAGACATAAAATTAACGTTTTCTTTGTATGTGGTGTTTGGTTTCTTCTTACTGACATATTACATACTGTAATATACCAGTTTTTATTTAAAAAAATGGAAATTTGAATTGTTAAATAACAAGTGAAATACATTTTCCCTATTACTTTTATGTTTTGGCATTAAATACAGATAAACTATAAGGACATTTAACAGACTAGCAGCAGTATAAATTTATAATTAATGTTGTTCACCTTATGAATTAGTTACTGCTGGCAAACACAGGTGAAGGTATTCTTTTAACACACAGTGTCTTAATGAGGTAAAGCTGCTGTTTAAATATTTGTTTCTGATTATCTTAAAATTAACTGATCATCCCAGAAGACCCAAATGAGATTTTCAAAGAAGAACGCCTCATGTAACATAATAACAAATATTACCATCATTATTATTATGTTCTTGAATGATAGATGAAGGACAATTAATTTGCTGCTAGGTCATTAAATTACACACACAATTTTGCACAACATCAGTGTTAAGTATGTTTTATTGATTGCTATACAGTACTAATTTATTTAATTTTAAACTTTTGATAGCATGGTTAATCAATAAAATGTCATCTTTGTTTGATTTGTGGCTGTTTTTAAGGCCCTGGAGTTTGATTCCTGTTTATTTTATTTTCAGAAGACACAGTAATTTAATAGTGAGAGGAAGACACATTTCTAATTCTATGAAAATTACTGTAATGCAGAACAGTCTGACTGTATTATGGTAGTGAATAGTTGATCAGATATTTAAAGTAAAATTTAAATAATTTTCAGCACCCTAAGGTAAGAGAATTGCCATTTTCATTATTTAATAAAAATCATTTTTAGACTTTTAGTATACTATGTATCACAATAAATGCAACACAATATGTAATTACTTTAACTTAGTAGTTATTATTAATTTACTATTTATTATTCAGTAAATATGAAATAGGAAGCACCTCAAGGATTGCTTCAGCAAGACAAGAACTACAGGCTATCATAGAATACCCATGAATCCAACTGTATTCACTAGATGACTCAGATCTCCTTGTATCCAATACAGTCTTGATAGCATCATGATTCAGTTCCATAGGCCTATAGTACTGTTTGCTGTTGAATTCTAGTTCTCTGTCTTAAAGTGGCAATGGTAGAACACCCTGTTAGAAAAACCATGAAAGATCTGTGTCACTCAGGCTGCCTCAGTGAGGTCAAAACACTTCAGCTTGTTTGTCTTTCTCTTTTCCCTGCTATCAGCCCTTCAGGGTTCTTCACAGAGTGGTTTCTCATTGGCTTGAATGCCATTTCGCTCTCTCTCGCCTTTTCTTGCCATTCTGTTGCTACCAACACACGCTTACTGAACAGAGCACCCATTAAAATAGAGAGTAGTGCAGCTGTCAGCTATCATGGTTGTAACAACCAACAGCTGCATCCTCTCAGGTGATTATTAGCTGATGGCCTGTCACAGTCTGTGTAAGGGAACAACATCATTTTGGTGGTCATAGTGTAACAGTCTATAAAACCATTAATGCAAACTTTAAGAGCCTAGTTGTTGTAATCCTCTGTAATCTCAGCACATACTCTATCATTGTGTATGCTATATCACCCTACACCTCACAACTGGCAACCCACTGCATCTAAGCAGGTGTGAGCCTGGCCAGTACCTAGATGGGAGACCTCCTGGGAAGAACTAAGGTTGCTGCTGGAAGAGGTATTAGAGGGGCCAGTAGAGGGCACTCACCCTGCGCTCTGTGTGGGTCCTAATACCCCAGTATAGTGATGGGGAGACTATACTATAAAAAGGTGCTGTCCTTCGGATGAGACGTAAAACCTAGGTCCTGACTCTCAGTGGTCATTAAAAATCCCAGGGTGTTTCTTGAAAAGAGTAGGGGTGTTACCCCGGCATTCTGGGCAAATTTCACATTGGCCTTTACCAGTTATGGCCTCATAATTATCCCCATCTATGAACTGGCTTCATCACTCTGTTCTCCCCACTGAGAACTGGTGTGTGGTGAGAGTACTGGCGCACTATGGCTGCCGTCACATCACCCAGGTGGTGCTGCACATGGGTGGTGGTGGAGTGGAGTCCCCATTACCTGTTAAACAATTTGAGTGGAGTGTCCAGAACAGCGTTATATAAGTGTAAGAAATGTATTTATTCTTTGCTTTACTTTTTTGGTAAGTGTTATGTGTTAATTTTGTATGCCTGTTTTGGATTAGGCAATTATTAATCAGTTGCTAAAACCCTCCTGTGACCACAGAATCCTCTGCAAGATCCACTGTGAGAATCACCCATCATTATGCACGCTGCTAGTCCAAAAGTCCTTACAGGAGGGTTAATATCAATGA